GAACATGAAAATAAAAAGAAATGAAAAGACTCCATCAGGAGAGATTTATGTTTCAACGACAATATGTCACTTTTTCTTTTTTTAGTGCAGGCCATTTTCTATCACATTACAGAGTGTGATATCATTTTAATGGCTCTGATTGTTTTTCATAATCACAGCAACAGACCTCACCTGTCGACAATAATAAGCTGTGGTTAAAGAACTGCTTTTATTAGTGGAGAAAAAAAAACATCTGGTTCTTGAAGTGAATTTTTACCTGCCAGATGACAGACTGACGCTCCCTCACTGCACAAATAAACTCACAGTGATAATCGAGTTGAGAATGTGGCGACCCACTCCTCCTGCTGCTCCAATCATTTTAATAAGATGATTATTCTGTGCAGGTGGATATAATTAGGCCTAGTTGACCTGCTGTTTAGGACATTATTAAAATCTTCTGCTGGAGGAGAAAATGTCAGAGACGGCAGCAGCAGTAGATCTGCTACGTGCTGCTTCACTCCTCTCCTCTGTTGTTTGTCAGACAACAACAAAATTAACACACACTTCGGAGGTGTGGGAGTCGTGCCCCGTAGGTTTTCTTCTTCTAGATGTACAGTTTTAGTTTATTTCAGACCTTATCCGTCGCAGCAGTGTCTTCCTGCTCTCATGTCTGATTTTTTTTTTGTCTTGTTGCAGGTAATTAGGTTAGAATTAGAACCAGAGCTGTTTGGATCCCCGGCTGTTAACGCTCCAACAGCTGCAAGAGCTTCAAGTCCAACATACGTGTCGTTGTATTGTGTATTTTTCCTTTTAATTTTCACCCAATTACTTCAAATCGTGCAGTTTTTGTCCTTTAGAGTGAGGAGATGGTCGACTCCGTTTACGTTACCAGATACAGAGTGTAAAAAAAAAAAGAATTTCTTATTATAATGATGTAAGAAAAATATTTTAAAATTGGTTAGGGCGTAATTTAGAACAGACACCAGAGGTTGTCAAACCGTGGTTCTCTTGACTTCCATATTGGTCAAAGACGTTGGGCTACAGTTGTGACATGTGCCTGTAGTTTATATATTTTATGTAGTGGAATTTCTTTTATATACATTTTTGGGGTCACATTTAGACAAACATATTCATGGAAAGTATATTTTATATGCTCTTAACTAGAAAAAAAAGTATTTTTTATAAACATCTCAAAATGAATAACTTCTACCTAAACTTACAGCTACATTTTTACAGGGCAAAAAATGTTTCAGTTTCTGGCTGAACCCTCAGATGTAGCTGTGTCATCCATTTACCACCTCACAAAGGTTTCTGGGAATTGACGGATGCACAGAAGTGTAAACGGCATCTCAGGGATGGGGGAGAAATGGGGGTGTGTGTGTGTTTTATTTTTTATTTGTGAGGTTTTTGAGCTGCACAGTATCCACTGTCTAACTTTGAGACAAAAAATTGAGAGAGGGTCTTTGAAACTTGTGAGATACAGTAATTCAGTGAGATCCTTTTTTCATCCCCACGACAAGACAGGACTGTAGAATAGAAGCGAGGGCAGAGAGAGGAGGGCCTCAGCATCAGCATCACTTTTCAGTTTCAGGCATGTGCCCTCAATTTTCTCCCTGATGCTCACCTCATGTCCACTTCCCTCAAGTTTGATCCCACTGATGAAAAGGTTTAGTAGTACCTAAAGAGACTGGCCGTCTCTTCACCTTCTCACTCATTTCATTTGTCTCTTTCTCACCATATTATTCAAAATGAAGCCCGACTTCCAGTGTACTCCGGTCTTCTAACCCATTTTCTTTTGCCTAAAGATGAAACGCTGGACTATTTAAGCCCAGTGTGGGACAGTCTCCTCCCTCTCTTTCCTCCAGTGGACCATCAGCCAGCAGGAGTAGTGATGGAGGGTGAGAATTGTTGATCCGCTTCTTCCAGCATCTTCTCCGTGCACTTTTTTCACTGTGCAGATGGAAGAGTAAATACCACCATTATTTGCTTTCTTACCTCTTTCTGTCTTCTGCTGGAAGAAGAAGTGCTGGCCATGAACTGCTTTTTAAGTAGGAAATGTCAGCATGAGAGTCGAGCATGCCACAGTCGTACCAGTGCACAAAAAAACCCTTCTTTAGTCCAAGCCAGCGATCACTCTCCTGCCTCCTTTATGCACAGGAAAACAGGAGCTCCTCCTTCCTCTTTTCACCCTCTGTTGACATGGACACAGTACTCATGGCTCCACCGCTGACACTACAACAAGGCCTCGACTTTTACAAAGGTTATGTTGTTTTGTTTTTTTATTTGTTTCAGTGAAAGAGCCCTCTGCTAAACGCCCCGTCTGTGAAAGCGGCGTGACATAAATGCAGTGTGGCAAACCACGGTGGAGCTGACCCACTAAATCGCTGCAGTGAGACGCTGCATGTGTCTGAGCTGTTCATTTCACTGTAGAGTCAGCAGCCAGAGATGCTCTTCACCTCTGCCCCCCCACAGACACCCCACAGTCCTGGGGGCCGTGTCCACCTGTCAGCTGGTGCTCGTGTCCGTCTCCTGTCCATCGCCTCTCAGTCTTCCTCTCCTGTCCTCTCAGTTCTTTCTTTCTGTTCTCTTTTGTTTTTCTTCTCTACAACAAGCAGATGCACAGGCTGCTTTCTTTTTTTCTTTTTTTTTTTTCTTTTATGCTTGGCATGTGCTGAAGCTCATGGAGCTGAATGTGACCATTACACACACATACGTACCTTGTGGAGACGGTTTTTTCTCTGCCACAGACTGGGTTGCTATGGTTTTCAGTGTCAAGAAAAGACAATAACAAAGGTAACAGAACAAATTAAAACAAAAAAGAATGTGTGCTGTTCTGGAACAGCTACTTGAGGGACTGTTTTGAAGTTTGTGATTTAGTTTAGGTTTAGTTAGGTCAGCCATACTGAGACTACACACAGATACATGGGCTATTCTGACAAATAATTGGTGCCCACATTCTAAAGTATAAGAATATTTTTATGTAACTATCAAAACTAAATGTCTTTGCATCCTTGTTGTCTTTCTACTGCCGTAGAAGATAAAGTACTTTATAATAATTGCAACACCTCATATAAACCACAGCTCACTCTGAATCCCCCATCTAGTTATGCAGAAGAATGTATAGCTGTAGAACATGGCTTTAAGCCTGTTGGCACTTTGTACGATTTAACATACTGCCGGTCTGTTCCGATCAAACTGCAGCTGAATACACACTCTCTCTGCCTACATGACTGCAGTAAAGGCGGGGAGACACCATTAATAGACGGTGAGGTTCGGTGAAAATGCAGACCAGGCATCTGCTCTGTCATTCATCCATATCAATCTATGGTATCTGTCAGATATGGGAGGCATGTGGTATTCCAGAAATTCGCCCCTCACATGTCCGTGGTGCTAAAGATGGAACCATTTAAAATTACAGACGGCTAAATATACGGACGCGACCCTACATGTGTCGTACAGTGAGAGGTGGTCCATGTGTATTTGTTTTCTACAGTATCCCAGAAACAGCAGGTGGTATTTATACAGCATGGAACATCTTTAGTCCCTCTGTTGAGGTTTAGTTCTCAGGGTTTGAATGTGTGATTTTAATCAGGTCACACATCGTCTTCATCGTCTGTTTCTTAAATCTGGAAATGTGGATATGGATGTCAATAATAAAAGTGTAATCTTTTCTCTGTCAGTTTAACCTGTCATTCAAAAACATCTTAATTCATGTGTTTTTCTCCATGTGTCTGCTGCTCTGATCAGTTAAGGCGTGTTATTAGGTCGCTCATGTGGAGCCA